TCCAAGACCAGCACAAGTAGCAGACATCTCAGATTGCTTCATAGCCTAGGCGGGGTGCCCCGGGGCAGAACACAGGAGGCAGCTGACCTTGGCCACAGCACCTGGGAAAACCTCAGAGCTTGCACACCCATGGACAGCTACAGACCACATCAGAGAACCACCACCGTGTCCCTGCACAGCTGATTCTCCACCGAGGACAGAGATTGGTGTTCAGTAGCCAATCCTTGCAGCTGACTGGCTTGGGTAAATCCCTCCCATTGACCTGCCAACAGCAACCAAGGCTCAACTACAAGAAGAGGGCACACTCTGCCCACACAAAGGGCACACCTAAAAGGGCCTAAAAGTCTTTTAGCCTTTATTTACCTCTTCAATCTTATCTCTGAACTATTCTCCCTTTTCTGACACTGGTCTTACTTGGGTTCCTTAAACACACAGAGGTTTTTCCTTCCTCAATTTCTGTACAATTATTCCCTGTTTGGAAGGTTCTTTTCATGGACAACACATTCTTATATTTCAGGTCCATCTTAAATGGCACCTTTTCAGAAAGCCCTTTCCATCTAACTTAGCTATATCTCCCCTGTTGTTCTCTTTCATGGCACTTAATGGCTTCCTTTATAGAACTCTGCAATTGGTAATTTATTCACATGTGTGGTTAGTTGTATGTGCACACATGCCTGTTTTGTCCATTGTTTCTAACAGGTGTATGCTCAAGATGATGTTCAAAAGGACAAGAAGCTTGGGGGTTTGCTCATTGATGTAGAGCCAATGTCTCTCACAGTGCTCTGCACTTAGAAGACAGTCAATGAATATTCGAGTGAAAAAATAAGCTCTTGTAGAGCACTGAGAAGAAATTATAGACACTGAACAGATAGTGTTGTAATAACTACAACAGGGAAGTATGGTATAACTGTAAATGTGAGGAAGCTAATTTTAAATGGCCTCCCTGATCTAAAAACTGATCAAGAGTTGACCAAGTGACAAGAGTAAGGACTGTTTGTGGCACAGGAAATGTGTGAAGGCCTCAGGAAGGGAGTATGGAGTGTTTGAGTGAAATCAAAGAAGAACAGTATGGCTGGAGCCTAGAAAGAACAGGTGGGCCTATGGAATGTGTGGTAAGCCTCAGGGTTGGGAACCTCTTCCTAAGAGAAATGGAAAGCTTCAGGCCTTACAGTAAATTGATTAAGTTTGTGTTTTTATAATAAAAGATCACTGTAGAGGTGGGGGGACTGGATTACAGGTGAGAAGTGGGGAACCTGGGGAAGTGGGGAACCTGAGAAGTGGGGAAACTGGGAAAGTGTTTGGAGAGGTAAACTGGTACATAAATGATCTAGGGAGACTGGCTAGGTAAGTGTAAGAGCGTGGACCAGAGAAGACAGAGGCATGGCTAGAAGAGATGGTGAATTTGATGAATAGTGCTATTGTAGATCACAAGAGATTTAGAAGCTAGAGTAGTTAAGATAGGTGAGTCACTGAACCTGCCACAAGGGAGTGGTAGAGTCAAGGTGACTTCCAGGGTTTTAACTTACACCACAGAGTAGATAGTGGCACCATTATTAAGATTAAACTGGAAGAGGAATGAGTTGCTGTTGGGTGGGTGGTAGGAAGATGACAAATTCAGGTGTGGACAGTGTTTTGAGGCACATGTGAGATATACAAGGAAAGCTGCCAAGAAGGCAGTTGAATAGATGGCATTGTAATGGGAAGTAGAATTTCATGTACAAATGAAGCTGTTTGTCTAGGGAATGAGTAGAGTGAAAGGCCTGGGATAGTCCTGAGGCACTCGCACCATTTAAGGGTCAGGTTGAAAAGGAGTAGCAAAAGTGACCAAGGAGTAGTCAGAGAGGTAAGAATAACACCAGAATGTGTAGTGCTATGGATGGAAAGCCTTGATGAATTGGTCTAGACAAAAGTCTCAGTGAAGGAACAGTCAGATTTTAAGTAGAGGTCATCCCTTTGCAAGTTAAGTTCTGACAATTCTCTTTTATTAGGAAATTGTGTATCTATTTCTTGGGGGGAAAACAGCTCCCCAAATCCCATATTTAAAATGACTATTTTTTTTTTAAAGATTTTATCTATTCATTTTTAGAGAGGGAAGGGAGGAAGAAAGAGAGAGAGAGAGAGAAACATCAATGTGTGGTTGCTGGGGGCTGTGGCCTGCAACCCAGGCATGTACCCTGACTGGGAATCGAACCTGCGACACTTTGGTTCACAGCCAGTGCTCAGTCCACTGAGCTACGCCAGCCAGGGCTTAGAATGACTTTTATTTTCATATCAGTATTTTATCCTCTAGTATTTGTTTATAATGCATGGACATTTTTGTATTGTTGCAGCTACAATGAATGCATAATTATTATTTTTTTGTATTTTAAAGTGAAAGGAAATTATGATTTCATAATTATCATTGCATGGCTGTGTAGTGTTCCATTCAATGACATTTTCGAGATTTATAAAAGAATATGGCTGATTTTGATAACACTATGGGAAGAAAGAAAAAACTACAAACTTTTTCTTAGAACTCACCCTTCTTTACCATGTCAGGATCATTTTAAAGAGTTAAAAAAGCACAGAAGCAAATGAGCCTATTAATTTTGTCTTCTGGAGTTTAAATATGGGTAAACCAATTGCAATGCACTGCTTCCTTATCTTCATACATTTACATTTCAACCTTGAAAAATTTGAATTACATCCTAAGAAGGACAGGGTTAAAGGGTTAAATCAGAATGAGAAATATTTTGTTCATGTTTGAAATACAAGGACTCTCTTCATAGATATACTAGCAAACTGAAGACCAGTACATCACCTTGATGCATTGTTCTGAATCTTCAATGACACATAAAGAAGTAAATGACGCTTTTATGTATTGCCATTAAATCTTAAAACCAGAACAAAAAATTCTAAAGTGAGTATTTTTTTAGCATTCTTTGATGATTTATAAGTCATCACAAATATTGTTTAGTACAAAGGGGGCTGAAATGGTTAGTACCTGCTTCATTTGACACATTCTCATTTGTTTAAAGTTAAGCCTGAAACTGATTGAGGTAAGCGGTCAAGATGAAAAAGAGGCATTTTCTGAAGTTATGGAGTTTTGGGTTTCTTTAGCAAATATGACTAGAAGCAAAATGTGAACTCATGATTGAGCCAAGGACATTTTAACTTTTATCTAATAAACTTCTGTGCTGAAATTAGTACTTTAGTTCAGAACAGCTAAAAGTTTCTTGCTATCAACTAATAGGTCTCTAGTTTGGTAACACCAAAAGTGATTCATCAGGAAGCCTAAGACACTAGGGTTGGTGAATTCCTGCAGTTTAATTCAATAAATATATATTGAGCTCCTACTTTGCGCAGGACAAAGTGCCAGATACACCTTCCATTAAATTCTTATGTAAAGGCTTATCTTGTCTCTTAAGTCCAGCCTTAGCACTTTGCATGGATCTTGCTGGCAGTTTCCTGTGTGTCTGTCTGATGAGAGGCTATTTTTGTCTTCACTCCAGGTTGTGGAAATGGGTAGCGATATCAGGTCTATCCAGAGCATAAGCCAACAAAGCATTTTCATGGGCTTGGGGCCTCTTTGTCATAGGGGAGAGAGAAGGAATAGGCAATGGACTTCTGAAGCACATGGAAACTCTGGCACTGTTGAGTACCTTCTACATACCACATTCTCACTTAACCTTCGGTTAATAATCACAACAATCGGATGAAAGAGATGGCATTGTTTAACTGCCTTTTACAGAACAGGAAACTGGCTAGTGACCTGTAAAAGGTCACAGAATAAGTGGTGGATCTGGGATCTGAATCTCTTCTTTAGTCTTCAGAGGCTTTCCACCACAACCCACATGGACCCAGTAGAATTTCAGATCTACAGCAAATCATCCTGTGCCTTCCACTCCATTTTTACAAGATGAAATCTGTCTAGAATGTACATTAATAAAGTAGTAAAGGGAAAAGAGGTCATGGACAAGCAATTTATAAACTGAGATGTGAGTATGTGGGGTAAGGGTCCACCATATTTTTTCCTTGATGAGAAGCCTCTAAGGTTATTTTAGAACTAATGTTACTGCCTGTCTTCCTGAGTTCTTGCGCATAATACAGAGACCTGTTTCCTCTGCTAGATAAATATATGAATGACTGATCCAGTTCTTTCTCAAATAGTGATTGTGAAGATCAAGTAAGGCCCTTTGTAAACTAGGGGTCTTTACAAACTTGTAGCGAACATCTTACCAAGGGATCAGGGAACTGTGAAGTAGCTCATTAAAATGAATTGTTGATTACTTGAGATACAGGAGGGTAGTAATAGCATTTGATAATTTACAATCGAAAACTGCATTCTAACAGGCAATTTTAATCTGAGACTTGGCTCTTTGTAGAGTTTTTTTATTTTTTTATTTTTAAAGAGATGAGTGGGTCCTGGGAAAAAATAATAAAAAATAAATAAAGAGATGAGGTGTAAAATGCCAGTAAGATTAACTAAATTTCTTCTCCTTTGAGCTCTGCCCAAACGTTGGTGGAAACGTTCTGCAGGACAGAACAAAAAGATCAAGAAAAAAGCCATGTACAGGCCTCTGTCAGTGAATACTGAGAGGAAAGGAAATGAGTTGTGAGAAAAAGACTTCAGACACCTCTGGGGACAGCTCTGGTTTGGGACATTCTCTTTGGCAATATTCCAGAATCTGAGTGCCCAGAGCTCCCTTCAGTGGAAGTGAAAGCTGCGCTTGGCCAGGCACGCGCGTACACGTACTCACGTGTACACACACACACATTCACATATCACACACACACAAGGCCTGTTTCCTCCGCTCCGCCTCCCCCCGGGGGGCGGGTCTCCTCTTTAAAGAGCAGAAGGTGTCCGCGCAAACCCAAGCTCTCTAAGGCCCCGGGGATCCGGGGCCGATCTGCTTGCAGCCAATGGGCGCGGTGGAGCGGCTTGAGCGTGGCTGACGCTACACCAATGGGCGTTCGTGGGGGGCGGGGGCAGCGGAGGAGACACTATTGTTGATGAGGAGAAGCGGCGGCGGCGGCGGCGGTTGCACCACCTCGTTGCTGCCAGCAGCGGTCCAGGCGGCCCCCGCACCCCGGATTCCGGCTTCGTCACCCCGCCGCGGGGGCCTTCCCTTTGGCCTCGAGAATCTTTCCCCTTTAACCCGACAACCCCCCCCCCGCCCCCCGTCTCAGACGCCCATTCACCGGGAAGGGTGGACCATGTCCCAGCGAGTGAGGCGCAATGGGTCCCCCACACCGGCCGGTTCCCTCGGGGGTGGTGCGGTCGCCACGGCCGGGGGAGCCGGGAGCCGCCTGCAGCCCATGAGGGCGACGGTTCCGTTCCAGCTGAAGCAGCAGCAACAACATGGCAGCCCCACGCGGAGCGGCGGCGGCAACAACAACGGCGGCTGCTGTGGTGGCGCCTCAGGCCCCTCTGGCGGCGGGGGCCCGCGCACAGCCTCGCGCAGCACAAGCCCCACTCGCGGCAGCGGGTGTGCGGCCGCGCGCACCAGCCCCACGGTGGCCACGCAGACGGGCGCGTCAGCGACTTCCACGCGAGGCACCAGCCCCACGCGCGGCGCCGCGCCCGGGGCTCGCGGGAGCCCCCCAAGGCCGCAGCCCCCGCCGCCCCTGTTGGGCACTGTGTCGTCGCCTTCCTCATCGCCCACCCACCTGTGGACAGGCGAGGTGAGCGCAGCCCCACCACCAGCCCGCGTCCGCCACCGGAGGAGGTCCCCGGAGCAGGGCCGGTGCTCCCCTGAGAAGAGAAGCCCGAGCGCCCCCGTTTGCAAAGCAGGTACGTTCTGGGGGCCGTGCAGCAAAGGGAAGGTGATGCCGGGAAGGGGTCCGGGGTGCGCGTTGCTGCTGCGCGGGGACTGGGGCGCTGCCGCGGAGCCGGGGTGGTGGGGGGCGGGGCCCGAGTGGTGCGACCCCGCCTTCCCGGGGCCTGTCCCGCGCTCCCTCTCCAGCTCCCTGCCCGCCTCATTCATCTCTCTGCGGCTCCACACTCGTCCCGGCCGGTGGAGGTGCAGCGGCTAAGCTATGCTAGTCTGATTTGTGTTCATGATAAACCTGGGATTCTGGCTGCCCGCTGGTTACCGCTCACCCTCCTTTGGTGGTGAGGCTCAGAGTAGTTTGTCACTTCGTTTTAGTGACATGGTTAATGTTAATATGGCATATGTCTGCTGCTAAGTATTTTTCACAAAACAGTTCCAGATTCGGGGGCTGAATACGTCGGCATAGCAGATTTGGATCTCTGAAGACACGTGAGGCTGGAAGCCTTGTTAGTGTTTCCTAAGACTTTGTAAGTGGGTGGCAGGAAGTGAAGTTAAGCAAGGTATCCTTGGAAGTTTTATGGGCTTTGTCTGAGGGTCTGAGCGTATTTCTGATATACTAATTTTATATTTAGAATGTAAAACCATTCATTTGTTGGAAAAAAAACACCCAAATCCAAAGTTTGTTATTACTTGAGGGATCTAAAAATGGTTTTTTTCTTTACCCTGAGGTTTTTCCAGGGAAAGGTCCTCTATGGAGTTGTGGAGTTCCACTGGAGTCATTCATAAAGAATTACTCAATAGAGAAATTCAAATTATGGAAATAGGAAGGGATAAATTTTATCATCTAGTTGCCTTCCTGTTAGAATGTAGTGAAGAAGTGTATGGATGGTTTTTAGCATATGTGTTAATACTGTCTTTTCCTTATCTAGGGAATTTGTGTTAAAATCTTTCAGGCAGAATGGCTGGGAATTTCAGGAAACTTAGTACAGTACTTCCTAACTAAATAAAACAGTTGAAGTGATTTCAAATGTTGGTTCAGAAATTCAGGGAGTAGGATGAATTTTTCTTACCGTTTATTTTATCAGAGATTTAGACAATGGATACTTTTTGGAGGGATAGAATTGCCCTGAAAAATGATCAATGGTGTTTTCTAATTAGAGCAAGAGTGCTGTCTTAAACTTTTTGAAAATGCAAAATAGTTTTTTAAAACTGATTTGTTTAAAGTACTAGGACTTCCTTCCCATCAAATAGCTATCACTTTACTGAGCTCCTACTATACGGTGGGCGATTTACCTACAAGTTCTCATTTTAATTTTCACAGTAAGTTTTAGAGAGGTTAAGTAACAAGTGTTAGAGTTGATATTTGAACTCTGCTGCGTGGTACCCCCAAAACATATCTTTTACATTATATCGAGGTAGCTTTATGATGTATTAGATAGAACTTGGGAAATATATAGCACAAAATTGCATGTGTTTAATTTTTGAAGTAACTCTTAGAGCTATCTGGTGAACATAATTGATTGCTTGAGTTTACTTTCAACCTTCTGGAACTAAATAGTGTGGCAGGTAAAAGGGAAGAGAGCTGCTTAAATGGGCAGTAGAGTTGGTGGTAGAAGGTGGTGACCGAATTCTGGTAATAGACTCTGGTGACCCTCTTAACTATTTGACCTTTAAATCAGAGCAGCAGTCTGAGAAGAGCTGAGTTAAATTAAATATTGGCAATGTGTGGAGAAAGTTGTTCTTCTGATCTCTAGAAGGGCTCAATTTCCTGTATATCAGGCTCCTGATGTGCCTATTCTTCATGTTTCCCAAAGCTCACTTCCCTCAGATCTATCATTCCCTAGAGTATTCATGCTGTAAAATTAACCTTTCTCATTACACCCCCTCAGAAAAAAACGCAAGAAAACCCCAGAAAAATAAAATCTCTATTTCCTCTAATGCAGCGTTCTCAGGTGTGAAAAGAGATACTGCCTGTTACTAAGTTACAACTAAAATGTATGTCTGATAACCCTCCTTTCCAGGAATATATTCTTGTTTCACTCTGGTAAACTTTCATGCAGAATGGGACAATTTTCAGATTTCAAGTCTTTATAACACAAACTAGACCATTTACTTTTTTTCCCTCAGACTAAAATTGGAAAGAGAAAAGGAAAAAGGAGAATCTTTTAAATGTTTGTTTATTGATTTTTTTTTAGAAACATCGACTTGTCCCACTCATTCATACATTCATGGGTTGCCTCTTGCATGTGCCCTTGAATGGAGATCAAAATCATAACTATAATGCATCAGGATGACACTCTAACCAACTGAGCTACCTGGCCAGGGCAAAAGGAGAGTCTTTCAGATTAAAGGGAGATTACCCCCAGTTTATAGCCTCAGTGAAAGGTAGAAATCTTTACTGGTAGAGGAAGAGTGTCTCCCTTTTATAGTTTTGTTAACCTCATGTGACTCAAATTCCAGAGGCCATCTAGACCAGGCTGCTGCTTTCTGGATGTCTGTCAGATGAACTGGATGCCATGGCCTTTGTTAGGGATTCAGTATCTGAAAGTCCCTAAATTGAAGGTCTCAGGAACATAGAGGGTTGTTCCTATTCTGCTGGATTCCTTCCTAGTTGCTTTATTCCTCCAGGGTTAGAGCTAATTATTGGCTCATCCGGAACTCCCCTTTTATTGCAATTTTCAAGCAGTGTGCTCTGAGAACTTTTAAAACATTCAATACCTGTTTAGTTAGGGACACTGACCTCTTTTCTTTAGATTTTCAAATAAAAAATTGACAACAGCCAACACAACAAGAGCCGTCAGTGTGAATGGATCAAAATTACACCTATTTTTTTGGTCACATTTGCAAAAAGTATATTTTTTGGTGTGTTGCAGAATTTTAATAATTACTTTATGTGTACCATGAAATGAAAAGGGTTGAACATTGCTGCTAGAAGGTAATCCAAGCATCTACCCCGACAGATATTTTTTCTTTTCTTTTTTTAAATATGTTATTGATTATGCTATTACAATTGTCCCATTTTTTCCCCGTCATTCCCCTCCACCCTGCACACCCTCTCCCACCCACATTCCCCCCCTTTAGTTCATGTCCATGTGTCATAAGTTTTTTAGCTTCTACATTTCCCATACTATTCTTGCCCTCCCCCCCCCCCATCTATTTTCTGCCTATCATCTATGCTACTTATTCTCTGTACCTTTTCCCCCTCGCTCCTCCTCCCGCTCTCCTGTTGCTAACCCTCCAGGTGATCTCCATTTCTGCGGTTCTGTTCCTGTTCTAGTTGTTTGCTTAGTTTCTTTTTGTTTTAGGTGTGGTTGTTAATAATTGTGAGTTTGCTGTCATTTTTCTGTACATGTTTGTTTATCTTTTCTTAGATAAGCCCCTTTAACATTTCATAAAATAAGGGCTTGGTGATGATAAACTGCTTGAACTTGACCTTATCTGAGAAGCACTTTATTTGCCCTTCCATTCTAAATAAAAGCTTTGCTGGATAGAGCAATCTGGGATGTAGGTCCTTGCCTTTCATGACTTGGAATATTTCTTTCCAGCCTCTTCTTGCCTGTAAGGTCTCTTTTGAGAAAATCAACTGACAGTCTTAGGGGAACTCCACTGTAGGTAACTTATCTCTTGCTGCAGATATATATGTATTTTCAACTACATGCAGTGTTATTCTGTATTAGTTTCTGATGTACAGCAATGTAGTTTGAAAATCATGTCCCATTCCTTCAAGTACCCACCTGGACCCATACATAATTATCACAATATTATTGACTGTATTCCCTATGCTGTAATGTGCATCTCTTTGACCATTCTGTCACTACCAGTGTGTAGGGTTTTACCTTTTCCACCCAGCTCACCAGCCGCCTTCTCTTCTGACAGTTGTCAGTCTGTTCTCTGTATCTATGAGTCTGTTTCTATTTTGTTTTTCTCTTCTTTAGATTCCACATGTAAGAGAAATCATATGGTATTTGTCTTTCTCTGTCTGATTTGTTTTACTTCGCATAATACCCTCTAGGCCCATCCATGCTGTCAGAAAGGTCAGATTTCTTTTTTTTAATGGCCAAGTAAGTATTCCATTGTGTATATGTACCGCAGCCTTTTTATCCACTTGTCTGTTAATGAGCTCTTGAATTGCTTCCATGGCTTGGCTATTGTAAATAATGCTGCAGTGAATATAGGGGTGCGTATATTATTTCAAATTAGTGTTTTGAATTACTTTGGATATATTCTTAGAAGTGGAATCTCTGGGTCATAGGCAATTTCATTTTTAATTTTTTGAGAAAACTCCACACTGTTTTCCATAGCGGATGTACTAATCTGCATTCCCACCAATAGTATACTAGGGTTCCCTTTTCCCTACTTCCTCACCAATATTTGTTTGTGGTTTTATTGATGATTGCCATTCTGACAGGTTTGAAGTGGTATCTCATTGTGGTTTTGATTTGCATTTCTGTGATGATTAGTGAAGCTGAGCATCTTTTCATGTGTTTGTTGGCCATCTGTATGTCTTCCTTGCAGAAGGGTCTGTTCAGGTCTTCTGCCTACTTTTTAATTGGGTTGTTTGTTTTTCTGGTTTTAAGTTGTCTGAATTTTTAATAAATTTTGGATATTAATCTCTCATCAGATGTATCATTGGCGAATATCTGCATCAAATGGAAACCATCAATAAAACAAAAAGACAGACTACTGAATGGGAGGAGGTATTTGCCAATGATACATCTGACAGACATTTTAAACTTCCCACCTTAAGTGCCTGCCATTTCCATGGCAGTGTGGTTTGTCATTAGCAACTGAGACATGCTTAGAGAAGGTAACTAGGCAACAATGTTAACTGTAGATAAAAAGGTGAAGAAGGTGGGGTTTGTTTTTGTGCCTTTCCTCTTTTTACCTGATTCTATCTAACTCAATAAAATGTCAAATATACTATAAATGGAGAGGTGGCTTAACATGGAGGTTAGGAGCATAGGCTTTGGGTAGATAGTCTGTGTTTAACATCTGTGTTCTGCCACTTAGAAGCTATGTG